TCACCATTTTTCATGAATATATTTGATGAATTGTTTATATCTATTGATGTAAGCTCTCTTTCGATTTATATAAATTTCACGTTTCCGAGTTATGGGAATTTACTAATAAAAATGGGTGATTTTCCATTTTACTGACTATTACTCAAAAATGCTTTAAACAATTGTCATAAAACTTGGGTGAATTGTTTATTCATAACATATGACATAAGTTCCCTTTCCATTTTTAAAAATTTCTGATTTTACGTTTTGGAGTATTGAGACTTTATTCCTAAAAAGGGGGATTTTTCCAGTTTTCTGATAATAACTCAAAAACGCTTTGAGCAGTTTTCATGGAACTTTGGTAGCTTGTTTAAATCTATTGAAATAAGCTCCCCCTTTTTTTTTAATTTTTATAAATTTCTGATATAACATGGCAGAGTTTAATGTACGAACTTTATTCGTTGAAAAATCGTCGAAATCTGTCAATTTTTCACACTTTGGACGGTTGTAGAATTTAATTCTTTCCAAAATCGAGACCACAAACTTAGTTTAACTTGAGGTAGCCTTGATAGTGCCAAATTATTCATATTTGTGTAAATTGGTAACACAGTATGTGCATTTTTTTTTTGGAGGGGTCTATTTGAGCGGTGCTCACAGTATTTCTAATTGATCATAGAAATTCATTTAAAGCATAAAGTCGAACTAAAACTGCAACAGGCTTATCATGCGCTCATGGCGCAACTTTTTATTGCTCATTATTCTACATTCTGTATTTTTCTGTCCTATTTTCTCTATATTTTATATTTTGGGTCCTTTATTCTGCACTTTTGCCCATTATTCTCTATTCTGTAAACCCCATCTAGACCCTTATTAATATAGGGTATCGTAGAAATCTTGTTGTCTCGTTCTCTGACGTTATTCAACGTTAATTTCCGTTGATTCGCAGTTTTATCTCCAATTTCGAGTATTACATTTCCATTGACAATGCACAATCGTATTACATGTTACAAAAACAGTGTTTTAACACAGGAAATCCATTTAATGGTCACTGCTAGATATATCATGAAGATAAAGGTTTGGCTAATTATCCTTTATTTTTCTCAGAGGCGACCAGTTATACAAGAACGTCCGTGAACAACCCCACTTTCTAGTACAAAGTGCTGTTTATAAGTATTTGAAACAGGAATTACGTGCATGTACGTCAAACAAAAGCAATCGATGATATTCAAATATCGCTTAAATCTTCCATAAACAATTTTGAAAGTAAAATTTTGCCAAAATGTTTTACATATTCTGAACAGTTTGTCTCTCTATTTGTTTTCATGCGTTTGTGTTTGTTTGGCATTTGTATAATTATTATGCACGACCAAAACGTAATGGGTGTAATACAAAAATACACAAAAAAAAAAAAAAAAAAAAAATATGTTTCATACAATTTTCAATTGAGTATATACTAGTATGTTACTTACGTAAATTGTTACTTGTGAAAACGGCATTGTAATAATATATAGACTGTCCAAGTGGCAGAAGTATTGACAGAAAAATGATAATGCCTGAGACGCAGACGATGACATAACCTATGTTTAAGTTAATACTACTATCCTAAATCTCTTCATAAGTTGAATTATAAGAATCATTCGTAGGTTTTGTACCTATTTTTTTACAAAAAGGTATCAAAGAAAACACACTTTAGTGTTTCTATAAACAACGTTACGTTTAAATATATAGATATTACTCTTAAATTGCGAGCAGAGGGAAGGTGATACCTTCGGGAACAAAACTTCCCTCAGCATTGACATTCACCATATCATCATAGATATCAAGGTTATAATTTGGTACACCAGACGTGCGTTTCGTCTACATGAGATTCTTCGGTGGCGCTCGGATCAAAACAGTTGGAAGGCCAAATCAAATAAGAGGTTAAAGAGCATTGAAATCCAAAAGTTCAGAAAAGTTCTACTAAATACGGCCAAGGCAATCAATGCCTGTGGTAGAAAAATCTTTAAACAGTAATGCGGCGTTCACACAGTGCCGATTATGGCTCCCGTTTGAGATCAGACAGCGCCAAGGCACGAAAAGTGAAAAAGTCGGATTACTATCCTCAATGATCTGGAATGTACTATCATTGTCTGAACGCAATCGTATACGTTCGTAACAGATTCCTACGGATCGGGAATGGTCCGGAGAGGTCAGCCAAGCACCCCCAATAGTTAGGTGCGTGCCGTAACATTCGGGGAAACTCAGCCGATTTTGTCTGGTCGGATTACAATCGTGACTATGTCGTGACAGATTCTGCTGTATCGGATTAAAATCGTAACAATGTTCTGTGTTTTCTGGACGGTTTCCTGGGGAACGGGCATGATCTGGAGAAATTGGTCATTGCTGTTTTTTTGCCGATTGAGTCCAGATAGCATCCAGCTCTTGCCAAATGTGAACCGTCTTTGTTCCGGAATAGTCACGTTATTAATACGAAATTCGGCAATAATACCAACGTCGGAGTCCCGACAATTACAGCACACGGTACGACGGAGTCCCGACAAAGCCGTTTGCAATGCGGTACAGCAGACAGTGCTAGGATTGCGTTCCGGTATTACCTGATCATCCCGAATATGGCGATTTTTTTATAGGACGGGACTATCACTTGAAACGGTTTTCTAACGGATATCTTTCGTCAGCGTCGGTTTACTGTCTGGTCACTGTCTGATCTCTGTCGGATCGCATTCGGCAGAATCGGGACGCTGTCGGGACATATTCGGTCGATTTTTACCATGCAAAAGATACAAATCGAATGAATCGGATTGAGAACGGGATAATCGGGACAAATTCGGCTGGAAACAGCTGAATTTGGACGCTTCCTGAACAATATCTGATTTTTGTCGTGATTAAACGAATGTTTCTATAAATTTGAATTAAAGTTTTAATTTCCAGCCGCGATTCACCGGATCTCGATCAGACTCTTGACAAATTTTAATCGGGAATGGTCCTATTAAGGACGGCAGTAAAAATCGTGAATGTGTGACCCCGGCTTAAATGCGGACTTAAATCATCAAATACATATGGTGTCTCAATGTCTTTGTTTCCAAGGTAATTTTAACGATAAATAAATAAGCTGTTACTTTCAAAATGTTTCTTAAAGGGCCATGCAATTTATAAATTAACCAATAATTGATCAATTTTTGTTTAGTAAACTTTGCAGAAATCCTTATTTAAAGTACTTCAACGGCGATATTAAATAATTTTCATTCTCGTCGATATACTTGAAACAAGGAAAAACTAAGTCTTTAGATATCGTACAGGAACATTTATTTCTTACCTCTATCGGCGATCTCCTCTTGAAACGCGAGTTTATAACTGGATTTGTTACATTTTAATGCTAATCTTACATTATATTCATGCATTAGGTCCTCATTGACTTTTTTAACAAGCAAAGTATTTTACGTAGGAAAAGTTGATACAACATGTAATATTTATATTTTATATTTATAAATATTACATATATATATGAAAAAGGTCACACAAACCTCGCCATGTTTACTTCCTATACTTCCTGCGCTTTTATTAAATTTGAAAATGACTACATGTAAAAAAAACGCAATAATTATTTATAGCTTGCCAGTATTCGTAATCATTAATATATATACAGTCTGAAATGAATCTAGTTTGAGCTAGATAATGTAAGGTTTTGTAACTGTTAATGACATCTACCGCTAATAACCCGGATCATTGTATATTGGTGATAACAGAACAATAATTTACTATAGAGTATATAATCTACTTTCTGCTTAATAATCAATCAAAGTATGGTTTATTATTTAGCTGAGGGAATGCAGATTATGTGTTCTAATAAATAATGAACCTAAGAATATTTACCGCTCAACGAATGAAAAGAATATACTGCACCAAACAGATGAAGTTTTAAGTAATTCCTAATTCATAAAGCTATATGAGCTATGAAATATAAAACGATTCCTAGATTTTTTTTTAAAAAAGCAAGTCACGTTTGGTCGTTCGTGTATAGCTTGATGGACACTTTTCTAGCCACATAATAAAATACTAATTTTTACTGAGTCTCAATTATTGGACCTCCATTTGTGCAAAAGTGTAACGGGGGTCCAAGTTATTTTGAATACATTATGATTAAAAGATATTAAAAAAACTTCTATTCGCCATTTATTTTCAATATATTTAGGAATACTTGTACAGCTGATAAGGTAGTTTAGAAATGATAAGTGCCCAGTACTGCGGAATCAATTTCTTGGATTAATGAAAAAAATGCATTTTCGTCGATACTTGACTTCGTGATTTGGCCAAAGTGTGCATAAAAACCCGTAGATAATATGTGCTTTGTTAAACATTAAAATTATAGAACATAACATCTACCTACAAAATCTACGAAAATTGGTATCCCGAATAGTAATGAATCAACAATATATATCAAATTCGTCTCAAATAGCCCAACCATGTTAGACCTACTAATAAGCGTTACAAATTTGTGTTTCTTGCCTCTGCAGGATTCTAACCCTTGCTTCTGTGACAGCATCGCCTGCACTGTGTCCAGCGCCCTAGACCACTCGACTAACTAGGCTATATAAAATTTAGCTTACGTTAGTCGAATAATACCTTTCCTCGTCGGCATTATCAAGGGTAGTAACACATAAGACGTCAAGTTTAATACCTTTTAACAAATTTTTCCAGGTTCCTTTCACTTTAGCAAGACATGTCAAACGGGAAAACCAACGGTCTAATCTATATAAAAAACGAGAAACGAGAAACACTTATGAACCACATCAACAAACGACAACTACTGAACATCAGATTCATGACTTAGAACAGGTGCAAACAAATGCAGCTTGTCTGCATAATGCAGGACTTTTAAAGTTTTTGGTTCCAAACATCTTTTTTTTTTTAAGTACCAAGGTAATCTAAAGCAATATAATGCAACTTCTAATGAAAACAGGCGACACATTCTGCAATATTTATCATTCTCAATATTTTTTTTAAAATAAAAAAAATTACTTTACCTGTTCTGTGAGTAAAGTCCAGTGTGTACAATTATTCCGTAATTTAATTGCTGTTAATTACTTTTTAGCACTGTTCACTGCTAACGCTTTGTTAATTCTATCAATCACTGTTACCGTCGCTGTGTTATATTTCTTCTGTGATAGAACCAAAACGATATGTTAAATAAAATCTATTGATTACGTATAATTTGTTCACCGCCAGACCGGTAAGATTCAATATTTTAAAATTTCCAATGACAACGAAAACATTAAATCGTCATTCATGTAAGGATAGTCAAACGAATTTAAGTAAATAACAAAACAAAATTCGATTTGAAAATAAAAGAGTGAAAAATTGCATAAAGTAAACGTCTAAATTAAATAAAAATATCAATTTTCACGCCATTAGTGAAGGAACAGCATTTCTTATACTGTTAGTCACCGATTATGGAAAGTGCGATATCAATACATTTCTGTGCATTTTATATTACGGTGATGATCTTACTATTTATTACTTCTAAAGCAATAAGATGTACCTATTTGTATGCTTAATAATGACCGGTATTTATACTGGCGGTTATTAGCTCTCGGATTTTCTATGAGTTGATAGACAGTAATGTGTCATTGACACTCAAATTCGAGTACATGATTATACATGTAGCTGTTCTTTTGAAATATACTTGCAATGCATAAGGAATACAAAAATTAAATAACTAAATCTAGTTGAAAAAAACCGCATTTGTAACGGGTATTTTCTTGGTCAAACATAGCAAACAATGGTTAAGGGTTCGTTCTTTTAATACATACATAGTATATTGACGCATGCATATGGTACATATAAATAGTATATTGACCCATGTATATGGTACATAGGTCAGTATGCTGTTTTTAGAAAATGGCAGTGCTGTGTATAAATATCTATAAACTACTCAAGGTATTCCATATCCTGAATATAAGAATATCGAAAATCCGTTTGAAGTTATATGAATATAACTAATAAGATTATCAAACAGGTAACTTCTTAATACTGCATTCTAATATGTGTCCGGCCAAATATACCAGAAACAAAAACAAAGAAACCCTACAGTAAGGCCTTTGACCCAAGTATTGACCAATCAAAAGCTTAGAACCCCCCCCCCCCCAAAAAAAAATAAAAAAAAAAAAAGAGTAAAGAGATTAACCAAAGGGAAAAGAAAATCACTAGACGTTTTAGACTGCAGTAGCAAGTACACACAGTCGATAATATATATGTATAGCGCTCAAGCTATATATAGTCTAATTGACCACCATTAGCTCCAATTGTAGATCTAATGAACCTGTCAGTGATATTTACCTGCTCATGTACTAAAGGCCAAGCGTACAATATCCAAACAATTTGACAGCGGTGATATCTACCAGAATTTATTTTATTTATCTTGATAATTTCATTTTTAAAGTTTGATTTTATGTCCGTAATGTTTTCCTTTTATTTTAGCATATATCTTTTTTTGTTGGTTTTTGTTCAATTCCGTTATTTCGTCCAATCAGAGTAAAAATTGATGACATCATGCATGCCGTTACCATAGTTAAGCGTCCTTAAAGTCAAATTGAACAAACCTAAACTATTACTGACTGCGTCAGAAAAAAACCAACTAATTTTTAACATAGGTTTGAAAATGCTGGTTGATAACTAATTACTATGGATTATTATTTTTTAGGCATGTTTCTCCGAGTCTGATTCCTATTTCGTGACACATTAGGTTAACATAATGTAGATATTTAAAGAAGGTATGGAAATGCCACTTTTTTTTTAAAATCGAAAAAGTATGATAACTCAAACTAATAGCATTTTTCAGATGTTTAAAAGACATTAGTTAGCCTGTTCGATCAGTATTTATAATAATTGAATTATGTCTCACATACATTTATATACTTTAAGGCGTCAAATCTCTCATATTTTTTTGCAAATCTACAAAAACTGTCGAAATATGTTACATTTTGTAATTTTTTGAGACCTTACTATTAACCGATTTAAGTATTATATATATATAATTAATTACCCTAAAATATTGTAATACAAGACATCTATAGAAAAATGGTAATGTGGGTAAAATGTCTTCTTAGGCCTTGTTCTTATCTAAGTTTGCCAAAACCTATGTTTAAAATGTCAATTATAGATTAGATATTATGTCATCCCTTTTCAAATATAAATAAAATGAATATGAATTTGAAAAGCCTGAAAATTTATAACATTTTTTGCAAATTCCTGAGCCAGATAATTGAGCTCTTTTCACACCTCAACCATTATTTTTTTTAAACAGCTGACAAATCATGATAACAAAAACGTGTTTAGTAATAGGCATGTACTATAACGTTGAGTGGAGTGGAGTGGAGTGTTGGAGTGGAGTGGTGGAGTGTTGGAGTGGAGTCATAGAGTGAACACATGGAGTTAGGAAATGGAGTGGAGAGGAGTAAAGGATTTTGGTTAAATATTGAACGAATCCATAAATCAATCACACTTCATATCAAATGAAATTGTTAACGAATTCGAATGAAAATCTCAAATGAAAATCATTTATAATTGTTTTTTTTTTCTTCTTTTTTATTGAAATTGCAAAACACGATGATTTTATCTTATTTCATTTGTCATATTTGATTATTCATCAAAGTTGGACAATGTTTTGGGTAGCATTTTATGACAGCTCAGTTAGAGGTGTGATGATATTGTTTAGCTAGTAATAATTTTTACTGTTCGGAATTGTAGTGTATTTCTAATGGCAGTTTTTTCTGGACTTTGTTTATCTTAATCATTATATAATGTCTCATAACAAACAATTAAAATGCATCAATCAATTCACCTTGAAGGGTAAATAATTATCTGATGAAATGAAAAACCCATCATTGTTTCAAATATCAGTGAACGAAAACGTCTGCATTCAATTGTCTCTAGACACTTTCAATTGAAACAATAACAACACCCATAAGTAATACAAATTAATTCATAAAATATATTTCTTGTAATAATCTACATATAATTATGTATGATATCTGAAACTTCAATATTGTGTATTTTATTGCTCTTCCAATTCTTATAATTTTATGGAAATAATAAACTTGAACATTGACAAAATGTATTTAATACGGTATACTAAGCAGGGAAAAGGATTAACAAGGGCCCAGTAGCCTATGCTACTAAAATTTTGGACGAGCTCACAAAACTTTTATTGAAATGCCCATAGTGCTTTTGTTAATTTTCACATTGTGGCAGGTTTAGCCCCTAGTTAAAAAAATGTATGTCTTATTCCCTGCAAAGTCTGTCAGAGTCAAACAGAAGCAGAAAAGAGCTTTGGACGCATGAAATTTATGTAACGTATTGTTTTCATTTTTTTAATAATATTTGATAACTAGTGACTGAAAATTCATCTAGTCAATAAAGATATTAAAATTATTAATATTTTTGTTAACAAGGGACCAATATATAATAAAACTTAATTATCAATCAACATTTTCACTTTGATTTTATCATGTTAATTTAATGACTGTACTTTTTAAAATATTTTGTTTCTTCCAATTATAAATAGATAACGACAATGTCTCTAACCACCGTCACCTGTCAATAGAACCCATAAAACTGTCATTACTATAATATTACTATAACAGTATAGTTCTAATTTTCGGACGTGACCTAAATGTTTAAAAGATTATCCCATGAATCTGATGTGCTACATTTCATGTGAATGACAAGATTCTTAAATATTGAAATGTATAAAAAAAATCATTAATTGATCATCATCGAATAAAACTATATAATTTATGTCAAACAGACAAATTTTTTATTCTTGATTTAAAATTAACTTAAATGAATGATATATTGATCTCCATAGATAAATAGATCTTTTACCAAATAAGCAAATTCATATCTTTTGCAAATGAAACATACAGAAACCAAGTGTCGTTTTTCTTGCAAAGAACTGTTCTGTTTATGCTGTTGTTTTGTATATACTTGAAGTTTATAACTTAAACTTTGCTTTGCAAGTAAAAATATTTACACCAGAATGTTGTTAACTAAGGTAAAATTGCTGAAAGACCCCCTCCTAAGTTATAGATATCTATCATTTAACATTAATCATAATATTTTGGGGTGTAAATTAGATACACCTAATCGGGCTAACGCCCTCGTGGTGCATCTTACACATTTCAGGACATCTTTAAATGTGTGTGCGACCTAGACTACATGTTTGGAGATATAACCTTAAATCATACCTATGACACATCCAAGGTGAATTATATTGGTACAATGTACACGAATGCAGTTGGACGTTGTTGAGACCAAACATCCAAATTCATTCTATGATTTTTAAAGCTATAAAAACATATCTTATAAATTGGTTTAATTTTAAACAATTGACCCAACAACTCAACTACACTCCATTTTCTAACTCCATGTTTTCACTCCATGACTCCACTCCACCACTCCAATCCACCACTCCACTCCAGCACTCCAACACTCCACTCCACCACTCCACTCCACTCCACTCAACCTTTTAGTACATGCCTTAGTAATATATTGTTTTGTGAAATATTTTATGTAGCGTTGTAAGATGAAAATTGATCGATCGAATAGAAATAAGTATCTCCTTATTTTATATTTATGGAAAAACGTAGAATATCTGAACATGAAGCCTGTTAAGAAGAAATCGAAATAATAGTAATGAAGGCAGGGGATGATTGGTGGCAAAGGTAGTCAACAGTGTCAAGTCTTCCTACGAGTATATTGATAGCGATCTTTAACTATCTGTTTGTAACTGCAGAAAATCAAAAGTTTCAAATCCCTTAGGGAAAGGTGACCATCGAAATTTTATGCTTAAAAAAAAAGATATAATTGGCTACAAAAAGAAGATTATCCGGTAACCTTAAACACACTGAACAGCTCGTAATAAAAAAAAATAAATAAACTCAGCATATATACCAGGATTGAATTTTTTTGTACGCCAGACGCGCTGTACATATTGCTACTTATCACAATATCTTTAAAATATATACATTCATGCCATATCAATTTCTCTCATACTGTAGAGAGTCACAAATTTTCAACATATAAAGATGTTATATCAGTTAAAGAATTTATTTAAATGTAAAAACTGTCAAACTTGTAAAAAATATAAATTTAT